GCATGTGTCCCTGCCAGTCCCAGACACAGGACAGCCTGGAACTACTTTACCTGCCCTAGACAGCTTTGAATGTCACTGGAATGCACACATGGCACATGAGAAGGCCAGAGGGAGACATCAGGTGTCACTTTCTGTCCTATTTTCTCCTCTCCCCCCCTCCCCCCCTTCTCTCTCTCTCTCTTTATGGTTTTTCGAGACAGGGTTTCTCTGTGTAGCCCTGGCTGTCCTGGAACTCACTCTGTAGACCAGGCTGGCCTCAAACTCAGAAATCCGCCTGCCTCTGCCTTCCGAGTGCTGGGATTAAAGACGTGCGCCACCACCACCTATCCTGTCCTATTCTCTTAAAGCAATGGTTCTCAGCCTTCCTGATGCTGGGACCCCAACCATAAAATTATTTTTGTTGCTACTTTATAACTGTAATTTTGCTACTGTTATAAATTGTAAATGCGTTTTCTGATGGTCTTAGGCGACACCTGTCAAAGTGTCCTTTGATCCCCTAACAAAGGGTTTGGGCCCCCAGGTTGAGTTCTGCCTTAGAGTCTCTCACTGAACCTGAAGGTCATGATTTTTTGGGGCTAGGCCAGGAAGCCTCATGAATCAGCTTACCTCCACCCAGCCCGCTCCGAGTTCACAGGCACCTGTGGCCACACCCAAATTTTACATAGATGCTGGACCTATGAACTTTGGTCTTCATCTTTATTCAGTCAGAGAGCTCCCACTGAGCCAACTCCCAAGTTCACTTTTGTATTATTTGAGACAAGGTCTCATTATACAGCCCAGGCTAGCCTAGAACTCACAACTCTCCTGCCTTGCCTTGTCCAATGTTAAGGTTAACAGACATGTGCTAGCATGCCAGGCCCAGCTTGGCTCTCTAGGTCTCTGTAGCCCACCCTGTGTGAACAAAGCCTGGAATCTTCAGAGGGAGCATGAACAGATGGGAAGAGTGGCAAAGGTTGTACTGGGGAAGCCGTGTCCAATGATCTGTCTCTGCGCTCGCTTATTCTAGTTCTTGTCGGATTTCATGTCTAGCAGGTTAAATAATGACCTTGGCAAGTGAAGCTGAGAAAAAGTGAAGAAGGAACAGAAACCCATAGGCCTGTCCCCCTCCCCAGACGTCAGTTTCGAGGCAATGCAAGTCCAGCTACTGTGAGCCTGAACTTAGCTCGTATATAATGCTCACAAGGCCACCATTCTTTGCTGCAGTGTGTGTTTATGAGACACTACTCAGCTCTGTGGAAGGTGCTGGGTGGCTGGGATGTTTTGTTTTTGGTGCTGGGAGCCCAGATCCTTGCCTTGACAAGTGTCACACCCATGCAGGACATCTGTTGAATACAGCCACCTTCATATCTCAGAAGTGTTTAGGGAGTTGGGGGTGGCTCAGCAGTTAAGAGCATTGGCTGCTCTTGAAGAAGACCAGGGTTTGATTCTCAGCACCCACACTGTGGCTCACAACTATCCCTAACTCTAGTTCCGGGGATCTGATGCCTTCTCCTGAACCACCTGGGCACTGCATACATGTAGTACATGTGTCAGGCAGAACACTCATACACAGAAAATATAAGTAAATAAATCTTTTTTTAAAAAAAAAAAAAGCAAGAGAAAGAAATGCATAGGAACCAAGCACAGTAGCACATGTCTTCAGTCCTAGCACATGGGAGGCAGAGGAAGGCAGGTCTCTGTGAGCTCAAGGTCGGCCTGGTCTACACAGTGAGTTCCATGCCAGCCAGGCAACACAATAAGACTCTGTATCACACCACACGCCACACCTCCCCCCAGATGCCCACAGATACACATATAGACAGAGACGCACACATATACACATGTTACGGGCGGCTAAGTGTGTAGTTTAGTGGTAGAAGTTATCTGGAATGCATGAGGTCCTAGGTTCCATTCCCAGAATGAAAAATAAAAGGAAAGAGAAAGTGGTGGGCAGAAGTCAATTTTTCAGTTTAACTGCAGCGAGGCCAAGTAAATAATAAGCAGATACATGCAAAATAAGATTAAATAGCTTGGCTAGGAGGGGGGGGCTCTGAGCACGACTACCGCAGGAACTTGAATGCCTGCACACAGGCCCTGGGTGTTCAACTCTAGACCAGACAGGCAACTTTTTCCTTTTTCCTCTATTAAAAATACACCAAGGGTGAGAAAGGGAAAGTGTGTTGCCTGAGGATATGGTGCAGGGGTGAGCAGCCAGAATCTCACAAGGACAGCCTGGGGGCCAGGGTAGCGGGGGACCGACCTCGGGTGGTTTCAGCCAGCAGGATTAAACAAAATAGAAATGTGTTTGGGGAACTGGGGGTGGGGAGGGTGCATAAACACAAAGCAGGACGGTCTGGGCTGAGAAGGGTTCTAAGCAACCAAAAGCCAGGAGGTGGTGCTTTCTGCCAGCCCAGGGAGCCCACAGTTGCTGGCAGCGGGCCCAGCTCCGCTTCCCTGGGTGAGTGGAGCAGTGGGTCCTGGATCCAGATGAGACCCCGTGGACCTTGGACCTTAAGCCACATACCTATTCTTCAGTTGTTTGCTTTTGAGACAGGGTCTCTGTATGTAGCCTTGCCTGGTCCAGAATTTCTAGAGTTCACCTGCCTCTGCCTCCTGAGCACTGAGATTAAAAGTGTGTACCATTGAGCCTGACATGAGTATTTCTTTAAATCTGGTGCTTTGGTCTTTGTTGACGGACACGATAAAGATTTTTCTAGATTAGTCAATGATCTCTGCTGTCAGTGGCCAGGCAGTGAGGCCAGGAGCCTCACTATAACCACACTGTGACCACATATGAGCTGGGAGCTCTTCCTTACCCTCTGTGGACCCTCCTTTACCTCCTCTGGAGTCATTAAAAGTTTAATTAGGCCGGGCGGTGGTGGCGCACGCCTTTAATCCCAGCACTTGGGAGGCAGAGGCAGGTGGATTTCTGAGTTCAAGGCCAGCCTGGTCTACAGAGTGAGTTCCAGGACAGCCCGGGCTATACAGAGAAACCTTGTCTCGAAAAACCAAAAAAAAAAAAAAAAAAAAAAAAGTTTAATTAGTTATTTTAAAATAAAATAAAAAATTAAGGCAGGGTCTCATGTAGCCCAAGCTAGCCCTGAACTCATTATGTAGCCAAAGCTACCTCTGAATTCCTGATCCTTCTACCTCTACCTCCCAAGTGCTAGACTGTAGTCATTTGCCACCACACCAGTTAACACATTATCATTTCTTAGCATCTGCCACATTTCAGGTTTCTAAGAAGACAGAGAAACCAAAATTGAGGTCACAATCCATGGGGGTTAGTCACAATGAGCAAATGAAATGCTTCCTGGTTCCAGTGGTCATGGGGACCCAGGCTCCAAGAATCCCAGAGAGGGCTCTGCTTGGCATCCAGGCTAGCCCCTTCACAGGACAATGGTAGAGTCCCAGCCTTTGAAAGGAACGTCTCCTAGGGCTGTACCATGGGCCAGGCCTGGACTCACTAAGCTGTATCTTGACCAAGGCCTCTCTGACTGGCCCTCAGGTAACAGGGATGAGGAACAGTGGTCTGGCATATCTCAGAACAGGACAGAATTGGTTCCAGCCAGTTCTAAAGAGCTGTGAGCCAAGCAGGCTACCCTGTCCAGTCTGAGGGAAGGATCTGGAAGGAGGCTGGGTAGGGAAGTACAAACAGAAGAGAGACAGAAGCCAGGGGAAAGCCACGGCCCCCCGGTAGGGGTTTGGTTTATGGGACGGTTTCTGGGAATGCAGAAGCAAGCCTGGCTGGAGTCTCTCCTACTGCAACAGACACCTCCTGTTTAAGCCACAAAGGGAAAGCCATGGTGTGTTAATCACAGGTTCCCATACACACATTAGATTCTGGCCAGTTACCTAGTGGCTGAAGAGTGGACACAGTCCCAGGGTGGCCCTGAAAGCCCATGTGTGCCATATCCCTGAGGCTGGGGCTCTCTAATCCCCACCCTTGCTCTAAACGAAGGCTTTAGGGTCATCCAGGCAAGTTCTGCACCCTGGGTCTGCTGGCATGGCAGGCAGCCATCTCCATCCCCACACAGGTCAACTTCAAAGGCCACATGGGGTTTTCCAAGTCTCAGATGCTCCATCTTTCTTTTCTGCAGTGCTGGGGTCTTACACAGGCTAGGTGGTGCTCTCCCTTGAGCTACGTCCCGAGTCCCAACACCACCTTTTCCCTACGGTCTCCTGCCTGGGCTCTCTGACCCTTGACAGTTTTCTTTCCACCCTTCCAGGATGCTCTCTTTGGACTGGCCGTCCTTGACCACAGTGCTTCCCTACTCTGTCACTTCTATCTCTCCTTATTCTCCCTTCTTTCCTGCTACTTACCAGCTCCTAACTGGCTCCCCAATATTTTTAAGTTTTTAAAATTTATTTGTGTGTCGAGGCACAACTACCACAGCACATGTGCAGAGGTCAGAGGTCAACTTTTGGGTATCTCTCCTTCCACCACATGGGTCCCAGCAATCAGACTCAGGTCATGAGGCTTGGCACCAAGTGCCCTTACCCATTGAGCCATCTCTTTGGCCTCTGGTATTTTTTTTTAAATATTTATTTTATTTATATGAGGACACTGTAGCTGTCTTCAGACATACCAGAATAAACTGTCAGATCCCATTACAGATGGTTGTGAGCAACCATGTGGTTGCTGGGCATTGAACTCAGAACCTCTGGAAGAGCAGTCAGTGCTCTTAACCTCTGAGCCATTTCTCCAGCCTGCCTCCAGTGTTTTTTAAATTACAAATTAAAGTTTTTAGATCTCTGACTAGTCAGTGTTTCTCCTGATATACTCAGTGCCAGGTATAACACATAGTAGGCCTGCAGATAATATCTGGTAAATAAATGATGTGGTGTGTGAATTTTAACCTGGCAAAAAGAAGGGTCCTAGTGTTGGGATGAGGTTCACTGGCAGAGTGCTCACCTGACCCCGGTCAGCTCCACCCACTGTACTGATGAAAGATCAATAATGTCTTCAGACAGACACACAGCCTTTGCTGAGACTCCCCTGGGGACAGATGGTTACTCACAGCTCTGGACAATCTGGGCAGCTCGGTAGAGTTCCAGGTGACACAGGAGGTCCACCAGCTGCTGGACAGTGGCCTGTCGCATGGACCACCACCACAGCAGCTCCCGGGTGATGCTCACTCCCTGGACCCTCTCCATGGACTTGATCTTCCTCAGCTGTGTCAGGTCAGTGATCACATAGGAAGCTGGAAGGCAAGAGAGGATTCGGCTTAGAGCTGGAGGCATTGCCTCCAAGAGAGAGTCCCCGTCTGCCTCACTGCTCCTCCCAGGTGTCAGCATAGCTACTGCATCCCAGCAGGATGAAGATCTTAGGAGCTTGGGAGCCTTGAACATCAGTAGTTTCTTTGCTTGGGATGGTCTCTTCCCCAGCACAAGCCTCAGCGAGGAGCAGAACTGCGCCCACTCCATCTAGAATGGAAGCCCCTGTGGGCACGGAATTTCATTTGTTTCCATCACCACTGCATCTCCAACAGAGAAACTGCCTCACTCAGTGTAACTGCCCGAGCTGCCCCACGTTTGGGGGCCACTTTGTAGCCCCCGGAGCTGCTGCTCCAATCTGTGGGTCAGGGTCTAGCAAGAGAGAGAGTGGGGACAGAGGGACGAGAGACTCGAAAAAACGAGACAGAGTCTGGTCGAATCTCTCCGCAAGTCTCTCCTTGAGTCTCGCCTTTATTCTTGCCTTTATTCAAAGGAAATCATGGGTATATATAAGCATAAGCAGGGGAACACAACTGAAGACACTTTACCACCTGCAACTAGCAGCTGGGGGCAATAAACATCAAAACAAGATACAGGAGAAAAACATATTTATCAGAGTGTGCTCAGCTGTTGTAGGCTGTTGAAAACAAGTCTCTTGTCAGGGTATATGGCTCAAGATGGCTACAAAGATGACAGCTGCCTTTGGCTAGGTGTCGGCTCCCAACAGCTCAGTGCAGCAAGGTAGGATGCAGAGGAGTGGAGGGCAGCAAGGTAGGATGCAGAGGAGTGGAGGGCAGCAAGGTAGGGAAGCCCTCAGCCTTACGGATGCCCTGTTCTTGCAGGACCCCAACAAGTGTCCCCAGATGTTGTTCCCTGAGCACCTGGCTCACTAAGTCTCAACCCTGGTGGGAAAAAAATTAGTATGTATATGATTGATGAATGACAAATGGAAGAACAGTCCCAGGAACCAAGACAGTCCATGGGTTGGCTCTGTGATAACGCTGAAGCACCAGGAAGAACTGCAAGGAACTATGTTGGCAACAATACTAAATTATGCTTTCCTTCTTGATATCTTTTAATTTTATTTTTTTGACACAAGGTCTTGCTGTATAGTCTAGACCAGCCTCCAATGAAGCAATCCTCCTGCCCCTGTCTCCCATACACTAACATTACTGGTGTGAGGCAACACACGTGGCTTCCATATATATATATATATATATATATATATATATATATATATATA